GAAGGCGAAACTGAGGTAAAACCGGCAACTTCCCCCTCAACACAAAAAACAATTTTTTCAAAGTTTTTTTTTGAAGAACAAACGAAGAAGAGTGAGAAAAATAATAAAACTGAGGAAAAAATCCAAAGAGCCATGAGGCGAGGCGAAGTAGCAAAAAAAGCGAATTGATCAGACCGATGAAGAAAGGGTCTTTCCAACGCAGTGGTAAGAAAGGAACTGGCAAGATGTCCGCGCCCACCCCTCTGGGCATGTGCGGTGGGGTTCCTGCGCATGCCCAAGGTCTGGGCGCGAAAATCCGTAAAGAGCTTGCTACAATGCCGATCGATCCAGCACGTGCGCACTAGATCCCATGGGTGTGATCACAGAGACCACGTCGAAGATCAGACAGTTTCTACAAAAGGCCATATAATTGTGTTGCTCCACTGTTTCTTGTCCCTCCTCCAACACTATTCTGTTCTGGGTTTCTAAACTCCTTCTTTGATATGTTAACTGAGAGGCTAGGCCAGCTCTGTTTCTGATGAGTAGAAACATCCTCCATGATCATTTTGGCCAAGCCTAGTTATTGTTCCCTTGTATTTGAGGCCATATCTATGAGAAACAGCTGGGCGGGGGTTTCAGTTTGGATTGGGAAAACTGCAAAAGGGGGAAGGATTACAGCACACACACAAACACAACATGGGGTCTGGAAACACAAGTCATGGCAAAGGGCCAGTCACTACTAGATAGGTGGTGAGGGATTTTGCACTGAAGAATCAAAGAGATATAAGCAAGCTCTATTCTGCTTTGCTTTCCATGTAACCTGCCTGCTCGGTGGTGAGTGGCCTTTTGCCATGACTGTATTTCCAAACCAATCCCAATAATGTCAAAAATTCAGGGAAGGGGAATGTACACTGTAGCAATAGCCATGGGGGAGGGGGACACTGCTACCATTTCTGTTCATTAGAGAACAATTTTATGACATTTTAGTAATTATCAGAAGAGATCATTTGGGCTGCTCTCAAAGTATGACCTTCATAAGTCTACAGATCATTAAAATTTGTCAAGGGAAAGATCCCATGCATATGCTAGAAGCGCAATGCCGGCGCAGCAGATTCCGGTGCTCTTGGGGAGGGGAAAGTTTAGCGGTGGGTCTAGGCAGAACATCAAGGGAAGGGCCCTAAGAAAGAGGATGGCTTGGTGCCCTTCCAGCCTACGACCCATCCCAAGGGAGGTCAGCAGTGGGGCTTGGAAGATGAACCCCTCTCCGTCATTGGTGTTCTGCAACGCCAGGTCCATTAACAACAAGACGACAGTCCTTCGGGACTTCGTCATGGAACAGCAAGCGGACCTGGCGTGCATGACTGAGACCTGGGTGCGGGACGGGGAGACAGTTGCTCTCTCCCAACTTGCCCCGCCTGGGTTCTCGATCGTACACCAATCACGGATTAAGGGGAGTGGCGTTGTTTGTTCGGGAGGCTTACTCCTTCAGGGCCCTCCCCTCACCGGAGATCGCGGGCATGGAGTGCGTCGGCCTGGTGCTAGAGACTGAGGAGAACTTGTCTGTCTGGCTAGTGTACCGACCGCCTAACACACCAGCCAGCAGCCTGCCGTCCCTGCTGGAGGCCATGTCTGGCTGGGCGTTGGAGCACCCGAGGCTTTTGGTCTTGGGTGATTTCACCGTCCATGCTGATGACGCGGCCTCCAGCCGGGCTACGGACCTAGTGTCGTCCATGGAGGCACTGGGGCTCTCCCAATGTGTATCGGTCCCTACGCACCAGGCTGGGCACACGCTCGACCTGATCTTCGCTGCGGGGATTATAGTGGACCGGATTATTGCTACGGCAGTACCATGGTCGGACCACTACTCCCTGAAGGCCCGTCTGAACATCCCACCCCGACCCTGTTTAGGCGGCGAGCAGATTTTAGCTCGCCCGCGGAGCCAAATGGACCACGTACGGCTTCAGCTGGCTCTGCGGGATCCGATGCCCCCTGGCGGCTCATTAGATGAGCTTGTGGAGGACTGGCATGGCCGACTCTCCGCAGCCATTGATGAGATCGCTCCCCGGCGCCCTCTGCGCCCCCGCACTAGGTTGGCCCCTTGGTATACCCAGGGGCTTCGACTTATGAAGCGGGAACTTAGACGGCTAGAGAGACGGTGGC